GAGTCGGATGCTGTGTGACCATCACACGGAGTCCTGGGAAGCATGATGAGGGAAACCGTGTTAACCTTCACACAGGCAACACCGCATGTTTGGATCGGCGCACACACTCAAGAACGGCGGCACGCCAGCCATGCTTAGCACCAAGATCTGATTATAAGTCAAGTTTCACTGAATTAGTAAAGGGACTATGACAGAAGTTGTATTTCACTGACGACCATTGCTGTTTTCTTACTCATTAACAGTGCACCAGTCAGTGAATTTCGTCCAATAGACTATATCATTCAATTGACCAGCAATGTCCGATACTTAAAATGGGTGGAAAACTCATCGCACACACCCTCTATCTCATTGACATCTTTCTCTTATTCCTTAGGCGTTAATTGATTATCAACTCATAGCTGAAGTACAGGGACGTAATCGTTATCAATTTGCTCCTCACCAACTGCCCAAACTGATGATGACGCTCGTAAAGATAATCCAAGTTGCCAAGATTTGGTGTGATATGCCTTTTTCTCACTTCCACATTGCAGAAAGTAGCCTTCCAATCCGTTTATAATTTTGCACATCCAGGACTGTGTGCGTACAGATAACTAATTATAGTCATATCGCCTGGCTAGTAATACTAGCAGACATCGTTCAGTCGTGTAAAGTCTATTTAGTTTGTAAAAAGAACATGGTACACTGACATACCAAGGGACCTATCCTTACTTTCGTGCCAGCTTCCAAGGGATTCTACTATTTTCACGGGAAACTTGAGGGTTTTTTCCATTTTCTATGGAAAACGCCTATCTTACCATAATGGCCCACTTCAAACAATGCTCAGAATTTATTCCCATTCTGAATATACAGACAGAGAAATTAGCGAGTACCTTTGTCACTCTGTGGGTTTACAGGTTTGGCACACCGGCAGCCATCACAACCAACAAAGACAGGCAGTTCAAAACCAATCTTTTTGCTCAGTTATCTAAATTATTAGGAATCAAAAGGATTTACACGTGCACCATCAGCTAAAAGCCTGTCTGAGATTCCAGAGGAACTACACAGCCAACTTTAGGCCAAACCCCTGCAGGTCGGGTGTGCCTAAAGACCCTGTGATTTTCGATCAATGCTTCATATCAAACAATTTACTTTGCTACCAAATTGTTGTGACGAAGTGTTTAGTACAAACAGACTCTAGCCAGATGCACCCCAATTGCAAAGAGCCTGCTGACCAAATTCATATTAAGGAGAAAAACAACACAGTCCAGACACCATATACAGCTGATGCAACTCTTATTTACCCCTTCCCTCTTTTTTTGAGGGTTAGTATCTTAGGGAGAGTATTTTAGT